ATAAAATATTTTTTACTTTTTAAATCTTAAAACAATGCGCTTAGTCAAATAGCTCCCTACGAGGGGCTAATGGATGGAATTGAAGACGGTTGCAGAGCGTGCATACACGCGGACTGCCAAATCCCCAGGGTGCCGATACTGGTCAATGTCAAATACCTCTTTTGTCGCATCACTAGTATATCTGAAAGGACGCGACAGGGCTGTTGTAGATTATAAATGTTTCTCACCATAGCTGTAAAAGTCTAAATATGTTAAACTTAATAGTCATTTGTTTTCTAACTAATTCGTTTTAAGACCAAGTGTCCTCAGAAATTTCCAAAATTTACAACTTTTCGGTCACTCTCGTCGAACTGGAAAAATTTCTGTCTTTATTACATTAATAATACGAAGAAATCAGTCTCCACTGTACTCGGCTAGAGATGGTTTAAGTAAAATTTCGGCTCTTTCACCAGGGTTTTGTTTATGTCCCCAATTCCCTAATCGCTTAATTATTTAACTACTTCTTAAGAAATAATTCTACTTCTAATTCTACTTAAATTTAACTACTTCTTAAGTAGAAATAAGTCGAAACCGGTTACTTTGTACTCGAATATTTGTAGTCTCGGAAAAAAAAAGTGGAAAGACAAATTTTTTTTGACAAAAGGATACATAAATCGTAAATTTAAGGAAAATAAATTCTAGAGCTTTTTCTGTATCTCGTGCATCTCTCTAATTCATTAAGTTTAGTTGTAAATGCTGTCAAAGTAACAGTTTATTTTTTAACATTGTACAAGAATTATACACGTTTTTTTCTACATCCCCTTAGAGATGGGACATACGAAATTGCAATATCACTGGTTTAACATTGAAATCCGTGAGTAATATAAAATCGGAGAGAGGAATAAAAATATCAAATATTTTAATGGATTTTTTAAAACTCCTGTCAACTATACAGAAAACTATCATAAAAACATACCAGTAAATTCTTATCGGTTGGGTTAGGTTATAAATCTACTCGTGATTCACATAATGGGGGGAGGGCGGCCAAATATCTAGCGGGCAGGCAGCTAACAGCCCAGAATCGGCCCTGGATAGAATTGGATGCGGTATACGTGTAGCATCCACCCGAGGGCCTAGGCTTCCACCGGCTAAACTGGGTGAGGTTGGTGCTCTGTAAAGCGCGTGCGCGAATCTGGCGTTTTGGATGCTGACAATACAGGCACTCCGCCACTAATATTCGAATATACAATAGCGATCTTATTTTTTTTACGTATAGTATAGAAATTTGTAATAAGATACATAATGCGGTTATAATAAAATATTGTGCGATTATTTTCATATAATTAAAATTAATATGTATTTATTTTTTAGAAATACAAGGGAAGCGGCGCATCCACCGCTTCCAATGACGGCACGCCACTGCACGGTTTATTTAACATCGTTCAGGGGAAAATTTTGAATCGAAATAATATAACATTCATTTCAAACCCGATGTTCATATGTAGTTAATCTGGGCCTCCTGCCCCTAAGCATTTTACTTCTAATCTCGACTTTTATCTATCTCACCCCTTTCTCAAGATTAAGAAAGGACAGACAGAGACAGACAAACATGGGACAACAGTTGGAATTTATAGGTTACAATTTTTTCAAATTGCAGCCCAATAATTTTTCTATTTACGAGAACATACTTCCTACGTAGTTTATACATTATATTGCCAAAATTTAAACACTATTACCACATAAAAGCAATTATTCTAGCATTTCTACAAGATTTTTTTTATTTAAACAAGTCATACGAAGTCTTTCAGAAGTTAAGGTTAGCTACTTCGATCACGTGCGGGATCATCACAACCCATCTAACACGGATCACTTTTCAAATATTAATAGTAGACCAGTATTAATTAATAGTCGTTGACTGTCCTCTCTTCCGACAGGAGGTCAACGACTACTTTTGGTCGAATTATTTCAACCCCCTTCCGCAACGGTCTCTTCTTTTTATCGGACCAGCAGTATGGTGGCATTGGAATAGGAAACATGAGTTTCGCAGATTGTCAGGGGGGGAATGTTACTTTCGCGTCAGGATGGTCTAAGCCTTAGACCATCCTGACCCTCAGCACCACTCATATATGCAATCGGATTGCATATGTGAGTGGTGCTGAGGAGGAAAAGAGGACAAAACTCGTTTATTGAGAGGCATAAAACTCGTTTATTGAGACAAAAATGTGAGGCCCGGAAATAGTCCATAAAAGGGGGGATTTAAAAAGAAAAATATAAAATTTGTTAAGTTAAACCATGAAGAAAACAAGTTATATAAGTATCGAGTCGGCGACACCTGACTCAGACATCGTCGCCCTTTTCTCTTGGTGCTTCCGCTCGCCGCTATCTAGTGTTACTTTACTACTTCGAACTCTAATTCGCCATCGCTCCGGGGCTCCACCATCGCGAGACGAAAAGAAAACTACTAGAGACATTCAACCGAGATCTGGGACCTTGTCAAGCATTTGTAAGCATGATCTCCGAAAAAAATAAACGGTTTCTTTGTGAAACACTTGTCTTTTCCTGCCTCCTAAACCGCCATCCACATACGAGTAGACTTTAGTCCATCCCGACGTGAGGGAATAAAACCCCCAATCGACGAACTTACAGTGATGTCCGAGAAGTGGGATTTTAAGTCCCTAATCTCCACCATGAGGTCGACGAGTTTACAAAAAGGATGTTTACAAGACAGTTTCATTCTTTAAACCGATGTTTTCAAGACAGTTACAAGTATTCATTCTTTAATTAAACCGTGTGGTATAGATAGAGTTCAGTCGGAGATTAGATGATCTTCTCCTAGGAACGATGACGGCAGCTCCTGGACAGTCTCGTGGAGGTGGCAGGCGAATGTTTCGATGAAATTCTAAGTCGAGAATCGATAGGCAGGATAGGGTGATGCAGTAGATATCACTTTTGTTCACCTAATGGCACAAGGTTCAGACAGATGTATATAATCCGGAGGAACTGCACACTCGATCTTGAAGTCCGTGTTTTTATAGCTTTTCTCGATTTCTCAACTTTTCCGATTGGCTCAACTTTCCTCATCTTGCTTCCCCTGTCTCCGGGTGAAAACCGAGACCAGTTCGAGTCGCAAGAAAGGTTCATTTCGGATAGTCTATTTGATACCATCCGTCGACTCTGACTGGGAGAGCTTGATGAAACTATGAAACCCGCACTCATATTTTACATCCATTGCCTTTTTTCTGACGTTTTAGAATTACAACGATCTAACCAGTGGCGGATTTCTGCACAGGCGCGCGCCTGGGGTCTCAAAAGGCCTCAAAATTCAGCTCTCAAAATAAAAACAAATTATTTTAATTAATAATTTTTTTCATAATAAAAATAATTAATAATTTAACAGTAGCCCCTAAATTAAATTACCCTTAATTATTTATCAAATAATAGTAAAATCTACTAAATCTGAACATCAGTAACCTTTTAAATACAGCCAGGCAGTTGTAATTTTATATTGGTTAATTTTCAATGTTATTTCTCTGTCTCACTTTTTTTGACCACCGGTATAGTGCTTACCAGAGTTAAAAAAAAAAAAAACGTACGCGTAGAATGCACACTACAGAGTGTAGGGGTAGTGAAAATATTTAAAAGAGGCCTCAAAATTGAATTGCGCCTGGGGCCTCTCAAGTGCTAAATCCGCCACTGAATCTAGCGCGATGTCTTTTGACCATCAGCTCTTTCCCTCTTACCAATTTTCTAACTCAGATCGATTGTACTGTACAGTACATGAGCGCTGGTGTCAAAGTTTCATCTCTCCGGGTGGACATATTCCTCCATGATCCATCACATCGTTTATCTCCGCGCTGAGAGGACAACTACGGTTTTTTCCTCTCTCCTAAATAACTTACACGACCTTTGTTCTGATTTAACGGTCAGTGCCGTAACTAGCCATTCCTGTGCCGTGCAGGAATTTGTATTTAGGCCCCTTAATTAATTAGGTTTGGGAAAGTAATAAAACAAATACATGCATTTTGGGCCCCTCTTTCAAGTGGGCCCTGTGCGGGTGCACCTGTTGCACCTGCTTAGTTACGGCACTGTTAACGGTAACAATTTCCTTCTTTTATATAACATACAATTAATTTGATTTCGAATCTTGTCTGGAACCTCGTAGAAAATACGCCTAATACGAGGTTATCAGCCTGCACAAAATATGATTTAAGTACTTTTCAAGGGTGCCGAGTTTAAATATTTGTTCCGTTTTTTTTGCGAAATCTGATTCGTTGTCAGATGACCACTTGATATTCGACTGTGAATGGAACAGTTTCTTAGAGATAACATTAGAAAAAAATTATAATATCTGAAAAAATTTCAATTCCTGTCTACTTGACTAATGAAATTGTGCCATTTCGTACCATCCGAGCGAGTATCGTGGTAAACGTGACAATGATAGGGTAAAGTAACCAAATTTTGTATGTGGTTTTCGTTTTAATATTTGTTATATCATAGTATTTTCATTTATATAAATACAAACGTTATTTTGTGTAAGAGTTTATCACACCGAGTGCCGAATTTAACACATTTTAAAAATTTTTTATTCCTCTACTGTACACAATTTAAAGAATTTTTAAAATGCGTTAGACTCTGCACTTGTGATAAACTTTGTTGTTATATAAATTAAATACCATATAATATAATATAATAAAAGGGTTAGAACTACGAAATAATCTTAATGTTTGTTGTTTTTATTCTTTGCCCGAGCAATGCAGGGCTCATCTGCTAGTGACATATTTTCCAATACGTTCAGTTTTAGTTGTATCGACAATGAATCAGTCCTAAAACTTTTCGACCATACTTAAAGAATATTATAAAGATATATTCTTTACATATTGTCTCATTTTATTAATTTTAATTAGTAAATCATTCTAATACGAAAAGAATTTTTTAGAAATATTCGATTAGCAAAGATAACTGAAGTTACAACTTTATCGTTCAATCGGATAAAATTTACGTCAAATATATTTTAAGAACAATTAACATTTATTTAAACAATACTCTTATAACTTCTTTATTGTGTAGACTAACAACTCTTATTGTTGATTCTGGTGTCTGCGAGAAATGGACTTTTTTTGGAGTCTTTTTGCGGAAAATGCCGTAAGATTGGACTTTGAAGGGTGTTTATTATAGTAATCAACATTGAAACAAAGTAACAAACCCTTATTCATTTTACAGGAAAAAGATTCTAGTAAAAGTCGCGATCAGCCTGACAAAAACAAAAAGGAATTCAAGACAATCGGCACTCAGACTTCGGTTATAAATGTTTAAAGTTTGTTCAGAGGATTTCTTTACGAAAGGAATACAAATTATAACTTAATTATTTGATTCTTTCAGTGCACGGAAGCAAAACAAGAAGAAAAATCCAACGAAAACGAAATAAAAGACGTTAAACAAGTAAGTTTAAAAATAATTTGATTTCACTGCTAAGCAAATTTGTATTTATTCTTGTATTTGTTTTAGTTAAATAGTAAGAGGAAGATTACGTTGGAGATTGAGGATTGCGGTTGTCCAAAGAAGAGAAGAAAGACGGCGAATTCTGATAAACAGGAGAGCGAGACAAAAAGCAAACCCAAAATTTGTAAAACAACAAACAAAAAGGTAAAAATTCTGTTGTAAATCCGTGAGAAATAATTTAAAAAAGATAAATATTAATTGCGTGGAAAATTCTCCATATATCAAGCAATTATTTGTTAAAAAAACATGCAAATAAAATAGGCAATCCAAGGTGACAAAAGTCAATTAACTAACTCAATAAACATTCTAGTATCTCGGTTAGCTGACTTTTGTTCCACTCTACATTATAATTTTTATCACTGCAAAAAATCTTAAAATCCGAATCAATTACATCATGTAACGGCAATAACTTTAATGCCGTATTAGAAAATTCCCGCGATCACCGAAAACAGATTGTCCTCAATTAAACTTGTGTAGAATCCATTACTTATTGTTTAAGGTACTGAATAACTAGAAGTAGTTTATATCAAGATTATTAATTAATTCATTAATTTTAAGGAGGGAACGAGCAGAAAAAATTTGCAAAAAACACCAATGAAAAAGAAAACAGCTTCAAAAGAAATGAAAGAATGTGAAGAATTGGAGGAAGAGAGAGAAACTGGCGATTGCCTAACAATTCTTCCTCTTAAGAAAACCTCAACCAGCGAGGAATACACAATTACTGTATTTAGACATTTACAAATACGGTAATAATTGTTTAAAATCAATTGGTATAAAGAATTTCTATTGAATTTTAGATTCCGAAAAGTGAATGTTACGATAAAGAGACGAGGGTTATATTAAAGCAATGCGATTCCGAACGCGAAAAGAAATCACGTACTAAAAGTAGAAGAAATAATTCGAAAGAAAAAAAGAGAAATTATGAAAATAAAACGTTACTATAAAATATTTTCGTACCTGAAATAAAATCTGGAATTTTATTAGATTGTTTGGAAACGAGTAGTTTGTTGTTATATTAATTTAATCTGTGAATTTCGTTCTATGTCAACCTGTTTACATAAGGCGATTTTTCTACTGAGAATCGACAATTTTGATCAGGGCTGTCGAGAGGAGCTGGGGATTTTCCCTGGATCCAGAGAAAACTTAGTGGTTCCTCACCTATAAAATTAATATTGCTTTTACTAACAGAAAATGAAATCTTTAATCCTGTTTTTTATTAATAAATACGTTCTATGTATATTATTTCTTCAAAAATATAAAAAATACATGGAATTGGTTCGCTATACAAGCTCTCGATGCCCCTGAATTTGGTACATTTCTGTAAAACTGTTTATTTTTAGACGTAACAATTTGGATACAAGCAATTTTCCAGTCCAGAAGGAATGAATCTTTATTCTTGTGAAATATCGGCTGAAGATACTTGAGCTTTGGAAAATTAATTTTTAAATTAACTTTGGAGAATACTGGAGATAATATATTAAGGTTGAATTGTAAAACTGAAGGGTCTTGATTTAATAATTTAATATTATCAGCATAGGCAATCACTTTCTATTTTGCATTAGTAAATAA